TGTGAGGAGTCAAAATGTATCTACCTACACCTCCATTTTGGCTGGAAGTGGATTTTGTTTTTTAATCTATTCAGCTACTGTATGTATGTCTTTTCACTTGGAGCACTTAATCAATTTAAAGTAATTAGTGCTAAATAAGGACTTACTACTGCCATTTTGTTCACTGTTTTCTGAATGTTAAGTAGTTCTTTTGTCCCTTTTTATCTTCTTTTGTGATTTTTTGTTTTTGTTGTAGTATGTTTTGATTTCGTTATCTTTTGTGTATCTACTATAGGTTTGTGATTCAATGTGGGGGAGTTGGATTTTTGTCAGATTCTTTTCCAGCATCTTTTGGGATGATTATGCAGCTGTCGTCTCTTACTCTGTTGATGTAATGTATTACATTAATTGACTTGCAGGTTTGAGATGAACTGCATTCCTGGTATGAACTCCACTTGTTGTGGTGCGTAATACTTGCTGTATGTTGCTGGACTTGGCTCGACAGAACTGTTTAGGATTTTCGTATGTCTCTTCATTAGAAATATGGGTCTTTTTCCCCTTGTGATGTCTTTGTGTGGTGTTGGTATCAGGATAATACTGGCCTAGGTGGATGAGTTGAGAAGTATTCTCGCTTAGTCTATTTTTATCAAAGTGTTTATAAAAAATTGGTATTCTTGCTTCAGTGTTTGGTAGAACTCACCAGTGAAGTCATCTGAGACCAGGCTCTTCTCTGTCAGTATTTTTTAAAATCACCGATTTCATTTCTTTACTTGGTGTAGTCTAGTCAAATTTTCTATTTTTTTCTTGATTTCAATTTTTGGTAGTTTGTGTCTTTCTAGAAATCTGCTTGATTTGTCTTAGTTAACTAATTTATTATGTAGTTGTTAATGGATTTCTCTTGTCAATCTGTTTACTTTTAAATTAATCTGTTTTACATGAAATGTTCCTAACTCGTGGAAAAGAATGGGGTGAGGGAATAAAGAAATCAACTGCCATTAAATAAATGTTTGTTAATATTTTTCTAGATGGCTATAGAATGACTAAAGGAATAAGACAATGAAGAAATTTTAAAAAATATTCATTGTTAATTGAAGCCTACTCTCCCTTTCTTCCAGAAGTATTGTGAATCTCCCTAGTGACATGAGTCCTTACCACCCATGTTTTTATATCTTTATGTATACAAAACTACGCAGCATTCATGTTTTATAATGTTACCTGTATTAGGTAGGTTTCATGCTGTACATTTCTTACCCTCAGCATTTTATTTCCAGATTCGTTTACATTGTCATAATTGGTGATCGTTCTTTGTTAATTGCTCTTTGAATGTTCTCCAAATGAAAGACAGATGGGTTGTCTTCAGTGTTTTCTTTGTAAATGCTTTAGTGTTAATTGTTGCAAGTGATTGCCTGTGTGCATGTGTGTTTCTCAAGGATGTGTACCAAAAAAGTTGAGTTGCCAAGTCACAGAACTTGGGTCTACAACTTTTCTAGATATTGTAAAACTGTTCTATGGCTATTGGGCTTTTGGATGTGCTCAGGTGGCTACGGAAGTCCCACCTAGGTAAGCAATGTTTCCTAATGAGCCATCGTGTATGGCCCCGGGCAGTGAGGGTTCATGTAAGGTGCACAGTCTCGTGCCCCAGCTGTAGTTGTGGATGCTCTTGAGCCTCTGTGTGAGTAGTTACTTTTTAAAATGTCTGAGATTGAGGAGACTGGGCAGCCAGCCAGCTGGGGTGAATGTCACGAATGACCGTGAATTAAGCCAGCCAGTCAGCTGAATTTGTACATTATTTGAATGAAGATGGAGAGTTGGATGTACTGAGTCTAGAGAAATGGTCTGGGTTCTGGGGTGTCACACCTTGATCTCAAATTCATGCTCTTCTTCCTTTGTAATTTCAAGGAAGTCATTTTCCCTGTGTCCTTAGTTGCCACATCTGTAAAATGGGGATAGTAAGACTTCCTAGTTCATGGACTTATAGCTCAATGATGTCATACATATAAAATGCTGGGTGCACAGCCTGGCATCTCGGAGCACCTAATACATTTGCTGCTGTTTTATCCTCCTGCCTCCAATCTCATTTCCGGTCCTCGGCCCTGTGTACCAGCAGTGTGCGGAGAAGGTTAAGAAGCATTCGGTTGTAGCACCTGTTTTGCTCTTCCTCTTGTAGCTTCTCACTCTCTAGTGAATGCAATGTCCTGGCCAACTTTCCATGTTGCTTACCAGACAACTTAGGTAAAGAAAATATGGGTACTTGCTTATTTTTTATATTTTGAAAGATTTTATTTATTTATTTTTAGAGAGAAGGGAAGGGAGAGAGAAAGAGAGGGAGACAAATACCAGAGTGTGGTTGCCTCTCGTGTGCCCCCCACTGGGGACCTGGCCTGCAGCCCAGGTATGTGCCCTGACTGGGAATTGAACCAGCAGTCCTTTGGTTCGCAGGCTGCACCCAATCCACTGAGCCACACAAGCAAGGGGGAAGGGTCCTTTTCTAGTGCTTAAAGAAGTCTTGTAACAAAACCACTGTAACCTCACTCTTTGTCTAGAGAAATTCACATGCCAACAGCTTTGCTTGGTGTTCTGCTCAGTGTTACCCAGACTCCATCCTGCCGAGGGTCAGAAAATACAGCAAAGCTTTCTGACGGGAAACACTTTGAATTCTTAGCTATCAACCTGGATAAAAACCCCTTCCCCCTGACCATCAACCAAAAACTTTAGCTTCTGACAGGCCAGCACCAACATTTGGATGCTTTTGAGCCTTCTGTCTATAGCACAGCAGTGGTGAGCACGCTGAAGTTACCCACCACCTGCATCTGGAGTGACCGCTCACACAATCATTCCCAAGAGAGGAATTCAAAAAGGTGATGAGCGTCCTTATTTTTCGTCTAATTATAGAATGTAGGGTTAGTTTTAATAACTTCTCACGAAATTAGCAAGAGAGAGCCAGGAAGTCCGGCTGAGGCTTTCTTTCTGAAAGTCAATATCCATCCAAGATGGAAGCCCAGCTCTGTGCAGAAGGAAGGATGAATGGTCACTAGGCGACTTGGGAAATCCTTGGGATTGTGTAACACATGAAACTGTTGGTGACATTTCGTTTACATCTGCCCCGAAGTTGGCCTTGTGTTTCACTGTAATGTGGCCCAGCTGTCATTCACTTCGGGACCACCAAGTGTGGCCTGCATTTACAAATGCTTTGGTATTCACCCCAGTTGTACAGCAAGTTTCCGGAGAGGGTTATAAAGAAACTAAATAGCCCTGACTGGTGTAGCTCAGTGGATTGAGCGTGGGCCTGTGAAGCAAAGGGTCGCTGGTTCGATTCCCAGTCAGGGAACATGCCTGGGTTGCAGGCCAGGTCCCCAGTGGGGGACACATGAGAGGCAACCACACATTGATGTTTCTCTCTCTCTCTTTCTCCTTCCTGTCCCCTCTCTAAAAATAAATAAATATATTTTTAAAAAAAGCTAAATAGTGTCTGTACCCAGTACCCAGTATCTGAAAAGCTTTCTAAGGCCCTGTATTACTCAATGTGAACGATAATCTGCACAAGATGCCAAACCCTCCGAGGCCCAGGATCCTTGGATGTCCAGCCATTGCCCACCTTCCCACACTGGGTCTCAGCACTTTTTGCCTGGACTCGCCGGTGGCCACACTCCCACATCTGGCCCACGGCCTGGCAGACTTTTCAACTTTGACCTCCCCCAAGCTGCTTTCTCTGCCTGGAATGTCCCCTCTGTGTCCCAACATCGTCTCTTCCAGCTCAGTCCCTTTCTGAGCTGAGATCCGTGTCCAACATCATATTTCTCACTTGAGGAGCATCCATAGTTTCTACCCCTGAGGGTAGGGTCCAGGCTGGTGATATGTGACGTTACACAGGTTGTAGCTCTCCGAAAGCATCGTCTGCCTACTGGTCTGTTGAGGCTGCTCTCTTGGTCACCAAATGTCATTAATAATGAACATTTTATTATATTTTGGCAATCAGTGATCTTTTCTCTCTTCCTGTGGTTGATACAATACCCATTTCCCAATTCAGGTAGTGATATGAAAGTTATTGTTGTCAATCAGGTTTGCTATTCTATCAAAACAAGGCAGAAAATATAATTCTGTTCTCCTCCAAACTATTTTAACCATGGTCTTTTGGACTGAAAATTAAATGCCATCTTACCAAAATAATACTGAAGCCTAAAAATAATTGTATATGCTCTATAAAAACACCTTCCTCCTTCCTCTCTCTCACTCTTCCTCCTTCCTTACGTAAGTAGTTGCTTCCGAAACTTGGCCAAGTTGAAGGATTATCTGGGTCTTCCAGGAATTTTGTTGGAGGTGCAGTTATGATGACCAGAGTGTCGAGTCCTCACTGCACGCGTATGTATGTAGCAAACCCCAAGGGGAGCTATGGATTTATTTATTTATTTAATGTTTCATCGCTTATGCCATTACAGCTGTCCCATTTCCCCCCTTCATTCCCCTCCACCCTGCACACCCCTCCCCCCTGCACACCCCTCCCCCCACATTCCTCCCTTTAGTTCCTGTCCATGTGTCACAAGTTCTTTAGATTCTGTATTTCCCCTACTATTCTTGCCCTCCCCCTATCTATTTTCTACCTACCGTCTGTGCTACTTATTCTCTGTACCTTCTCCCCCCTTCTCCTCCTCCCAGTCCCCTGTTGCTAACCCTCCATGGGATCTCCATTTCTATGGTTCTGGGGAGCTACAGATTTATTACGTCTTTCGTTCAGTGTTTCCTTATGTGGAAGAATGAGCATGATTTGGGTGTAAGTCTTGTCATGTTCAAGTTCAGCTAGTACCTCTTCTATTCTTCATCCCTGGTCCCGGGCCGAGGGGAGGGGGAGTCCCCTGATGTGTGATCTACAAAACCCTCCTCCACGAGCCCACCCGTTTTGTGTGGTGAGTGTCTGCTGCGCCATGTGTTCTGAAGGCAGTGTCTCCTCCCAAATGCCCCCCACAGGTCTACAGTGGCTCTCCTCCCCTGTAAGGCGGTCTTTTCTTTGCACAGCAACAATCATAGTACATCAAAATGCCTTTTATTTGAGACACAAAAATGCAAAATTGCTGAGATATCAAACATTTTCCGGTCCGCTACAATACTGCCACTATGTACAAAAGATCCAATGATAAATGTGCACACATATAAAAATACAGTATGCGTTACCTATGTACAGTACATGTGCAAAACATATGGCATTCAAACATGATATGGAATTGATTTCAGGGGTGCAAACAGCAAATACAAAGGCATCACGGTTTTTCTTTTAAAAAACAACATAAAGGCAATACATGAATGGACCCCCGATTGCCATAATTTTTTTGTTTCTTAAACGAGTGCTTGAATAAGCAGGGCTCTGTAGACTGGTATCTTTCTCCTCTTTTTCATAAAGTGAGATGCTAAGACATAATGTGACAATGAAAATAAGAAGAGAAACACCTATCACGTTGCACTTCTATTGCAAGCAAGAAAACTAATTTGTACGTAGAAAGGAAAAAACTTTGTACTACTACTAAATGTGTACTATTCCTAAACCAACAAAACAAATCTCTACTATTTTACATGAAAACAATACAGAAATATCTACACCTTTGTGAAAACTATAACCTTAAATGGATAATACCTTTTTGGGACTGATTTTTGAGATCTCATTAGTCTCAAATTTTAAATAAAAAGTGCCTCTTTTTGGCAAATACTTGGCAATGCCTTTGGTTCCTTTAAAGCAAGTGTGCATTACTACTGGTTACTTGAGGTTAAGTACTTTTGGTAGATACTAAACCCTTTCCTAAATGCTTCTTCCTCCTACCCAATCAGCAAGTGTTCTTACAGCACAATGTAGAGAGGTAATCGCTATGAGCCTCGGTGAGCCTACGAGCTTGGTGAAAGCTTTATCTGAGCAGTTGGCACAAAGCTCTGTTACACACAACAGCGGCGTCGCCGTCACCGGTGACGTGTTTTATCTGATTCCAGACAGCACCTTGTAGATCTGAGATTGCCATCCTGTGGTCACAGAATTGTGGTATTTTTTCAGTAACCATTCACAGAGCAATGTGTTTGTGTGGAGGATCAGAGCGCTTTTGTAAACATGTGCAGCTTTTTGCATTATAGGCCTCAGATGAGATTCCCGGTAGAAACCCTCGGCAACGATGCACTTCCCTCCAACACTGAAAGAAGGGGTGAGCGGGGGAGACACGCACTGCCATGCAGACAGTCACTTCACATCAGTGCGCAGCCTGGGAAGGTCATTGAGCAAGGTATCAAAAGTTTGAAAAGGCATCACTGCATCTGAATTATTTTCCAGTTTTTACGGAAGCCACTTAAAAGATGAGCTGAAATGCAGTGAGGATGCTCTCCAAATACACGCCTGCACTTGTACGCTGTGTTCCTTGATAAGCCTGATCTTCCAGTTGATGTTTTTTGATAATTTGGGCTCATTTTGTGGTGCCAGGGCCATGGACAGTCTGGTATTCTGCTCCATTGCCCATAGCCAGGGTTCATGTTTGCAGTGATGGACAGCAAAACGGAGGGTTATTTGTGAGTGGGGGTAACGGGGCCTGTGCTGCTCTGCTGGTAGACACCTAGTAATAACTCTTTGCCCTGAAGTCTCTGAAAGTCCCCAGCTCACCAACAGCGGCCTGCACCAGGTGGCCCACAGAGACCGCTCGTGTGGTGTGCACGGGACAGCTGCTTAGTCAACTGTTGTGGCTGGATTCAGCCTGGTAGTTCTGCAAGGACTCTGAAGAAAGCTATGTGGCCTGGAATGATCTGGGGTCGAGGGTAGGGGGAGCCTGAGTCAGCTTTGGTGACAAAATGAGTAATGCTCCTGATATGGCTCTCAGTGTCCGCTGACTGCACAGCCTGGGAGACCTATCCTGTGACCGTGACTCTGCCCGCAGCAGGCGGCAGTTCGGAGACGGCGCCAGACTGCCTCTGCCCGTTCTTAAACTGCCCTCACAGGAGTGTCAGTTACACAGGTCACAGAACTGTGCAGTTTTTAAAAAGGAAATTTAAATAAGATCTCTTTAGTATTATAAAAATATTCATATAAAACAAATAGTGTCTAAACAAGAAATTCCACGAATTCAGAATACATCTATGTACAAATATGTGGTGAATACTATACAGTAGATTGCACATTTCAGGAAAAACACTAGGACATGAACCACTAACACTGTCCCCAAAGTTTTCTAGTACATGCTTTGCTGAAATGTACAAGATGACCACATACCCTTAGACTTCCTAAGACTAGGTAGAAGCTTTGGTGTAACTTTCTGTGTGTCCCACCCCAACGACACGACCTGATACCTATGTGCACTAGAAAGGTAAGCTTGATACTACTGTGTTTCAGGAATATTTAGGGAAATAAGACTGCATGTGAGATAGTATGTTTCTAGGGATTGTTTTCTTGGCAGTAGGATCTTCTGCAAGATGATACACAGCACTGCCACCTCTAAACTGCACACACGCGCACTGAAAACCCAGCCAGCTGTTCTGACCCTGGCTTTCATGGCTGTGAAACCCACCTCAAACAGTAAAAACTGTCCTCTTCTAGTAAACACACACCTTTCCCATCACATTGACCTTTAAGCGCAGAGTTAGGTCAAAGGAGCCTTGGTTGCAGAGTGTCATCTTTGGTCACGTCACATGTTGCCCATGGTCTGTGTCCTCATTCTAACCTGGAACGTGTAGCTGGGACCCTGGAGAGCAGCACAGGTGCCCAGCTTGCTGCTCAGGCCAGGCCAGGAGGGCCCAGCGGAATGGTGGGAGTCGGCAGCTGGTAGACTTCCTAATTAGAGACTCCTTGCCTGCCTTCCTTGTAAAGGAGATGCTGGTACAGAAAGGTTTGAACACACATGTAAAGTGGGCACATTAGCAACATAATGAAAAAAAGCAAGCAGGCTGATGAGACAGCATTCTTTGCGCTGCAGTGTGTGTTTTTGGAGAGCAGCCTTCTGGTGGCATGTTTCAAACCCTATTTTAAAGAAGCAATAAGGGGACCTGAGGGCTAGGAAATGACCTATGTACACAATTTGAAAAGATGGAAACAGAAAGTTAATTCACCAATAGTCAATAGCACTAGCTGTTCGGTTGCCTCCTACAGTCCCACTGATATTTGGCTCTAATTTAATAGGCCACTTAAATCTGAATCAAGGTGATGCTTAGAGTCCAAGTATGGACCAGGTTAGCTACAGACAAAAATCCAATGCTAAGACCTGCCCTAAGAAATTACCTTTCTAAGTCACTAGCCCTGCCCTGGGAGACAGGCCCTTCTGAAAGGAAATGAATGACTTGAGGACGCACATGCTGGGCTTGGTCACAGGGCAGTGTCCGGATGCCATGCTGGGTCACCAATTTCTGAACGATGCAGCTACTCACCGCAGACCACACTGAGCAGCACCGCCTCTGCCTGGAACCGTTCAGAAGCGCTTTCAAGGTGGGAAGTGTAAGTTAACAGAGGGCTCCAGTGTTCTGGGCGACTGAATTCTGGAAAAACGGACTTTTCTGACACGTAGTGAAATTTACAAACTGAAACACAAATTTGAAATAAGATCAGCTTTTAGGCAAAATGCGAACCCAGAAAAGACTCAAATTCTTTTCAAACAGCGGGTCAGGCTGCCTCCGCGTGCCACCGTGGCAGCAGTCCCCGCTTGGTGACCTGGAGAAAGGCCGCCTGGCTCTGGGGCTCACACAGGGGAGTGGAGGGCGGGGTAATAGTGAATAAAAACCTCCACGCTTTTTGGTAGACTTCTGTTTTTTTTTTTTTTTAAGTTATATACATGTCACGTACTTCAACTATTCTGAAATCATTTTGGAAATCCTGTGACTGTTGGCATTTCAGAAAATTTTTAAACTACTCAACAAATATGATAACTTTCTCTCTATATAAAAAACTAATAAAACCTCCAGTTTTTCAGTCGTCAGCTTGACAGTGTGGTGAGAGCTCAGGTACAACACCCAGTGCCAACCTGTGAAGTGAGGACCAGGATAAGCGAGAGGAGAGGCGGCGGGAGCCGCAGTCCAGAGGCTGACCTGGCGACAGCTTAGCCTGGAGCCGTCGTGGGAATTTCCTGGGAAGGACAGACCTTGCCTTCGCTTTGCAACTCACCAGCTCAGAAAGATATTTTACACTTACAGCTTTTTCTTGGTTCTTTGAGATGGGTCTGGTTACCTGAAAATTAGTTCTTAAAATACAGAAATACACTGGCTCAAGTACTCTAGAAATATTTGAGTTATTAAAACAAGCAGGGCCACCGGATACTCAATTTTTCACCCCAAAGTAGGCTGTACAAATCCTAATGTAGCATGTGCACAGACGCGTCTAATTTATACATTAATCAGCGCAGAGAGTTGCTAAACAGAAGTTTCAGTGTTATCAATAGACTTGGACTTTTTACAGGGGATCATTTATGACAGTATTTTGTATACCCTGTCAGGTTATGGTGAAAACACTTCCATTTAAATTTAAATTTGGAAATCTAAAGTAAGATTCCAAATATCACAAAATAAACTCAATGCAAAAAAAATTACATTGGTTTCTGAATGAACTAAAAGTCTTCAGCTGGTGCCGTCCGCTGCCTTTGATCCCTGCGGCATCCTGGGTGGGGCGAGGGCTGTTTCCAGAAACACACGTGCAGTGACCTCTCGCCTCCCTCACCCCGGCGTTCTTTCTTTTTTGAGTGGAGCTGCATGCTTTTTATTAAGGGCCCGGAAGTGACCACAGAGGTTTAAATGTAGTTGGTTACCAGCGAATCCTCATGTCATTATCCTGCACATTACTCTCTCTCTTTTTATCTAAAGAACTCTTCCTTCCTTAGTGAAGTTTGAAGAAACAGATGAGTCTTCTTTGACTAGAGATGTTTCAGAAGGCCCTGTGCTGTATTAAACTGCAGACATTCACTGCTGGATGCAATGAAATGTTCTTAAACTTGGTTTCCAGGCTGTGACCTTCTATCCATTTGCAATGATGCAACTATGGACCTGTCTCTAAAAACTGACCTTTGACTCATCTTCATCTTCTTAAAACTCATGAACTCTGAGACGAGAAGCCTGTGATGTTAGTCCCATGGCAACGGCAGGTCTTGTGGATCCAGAAAGTCAGCAGAGAACATATTGGGGGCAGTGGCGCTGAGAGGCGTGAGTCCTGACGACGTGTTAGGCATAGTAATGTCTAACCACTCCATGTTGTCCAAGTTTGAGTCAGAGAGGTCAAGGGACAGACAGGGCGTGCTTGCGGCAAACTGGGCCTCGGCAGTCTCCATGGGTGAGTGTGAATGGTCCAGCACGCCCGCGTGACTCAGCAGGTCGTTCTGGAGGTCCTCGATCAGAGAGAAGGGCTCTCTGTCTTCGCTGCTGCTTTGCAGTGGAGTAACGTCATTGGCTGAAGGTAAAGTCCCATCCAAGAAAGCTTCCAGTTGGTTCTCTAAGCTGGCAGATAAACTGCTCATAGGTTCTAAGGATACAGGTGGTGCCATTTGGACCTGGGGTGGTGGCCGGGACACCACTGTGTTGACTGGCATTGTGGTGATGCTGGCTGTCACTGGTCTCATTTTGGAAATGGGAGAAGGCTCTTCCTTTATAGGGAGGGAAATCTCTGTGCAAAATAACAGAAGTAATCAGTAAAGATTTACTACTATTTAAAATTTTTATTAATTACTAACAGTTATTTTGCTATTTTGCGGGGACTTAATTCATAGTCCATCTTAGAGAAAGGAAAAGAGTGCTGTTGGTCCTTGATAACCTTTAGGATGATAGATCATTTTAATTAAATAAACATTTATATCCATAACATTCTGATATGTGAATTCTTGTTAGTGAGAGTAAGCATTAAAAGCCATTATATCCCACCAGGAAGGAGGTGACTATTTAGATTATTGGATTATTTGGTCCCGTTCTCAGTTATATTTTAGGCTTAAGACAGGGCTTCTGTCCCATTCTGCACCATGAAGCTGCTGTTCCAGCAGCTCACCACCCCTAAGATGAATGTGGACCTGTGTATCCTCGAGATCATGACAGTCTAATTTGATTTTTTCTTGTTTATCAGTATAATTGATGATAACTGTGTTATCAATTATACATTTTACATACAGTTCTGAAAAGATACAATGCCATCTTATATCTTTTCTGAATCAAAGCTAACACATTGCTCTTCTGACCTTATTTAAGATGAGGTGGATCACCTTACGTTTCTTACTTTTTTTGGTCTTGTTTTTTGAGTTTATATAAAATTTGAGGATTTGGTAAATGTCTTAAGGAAGTACTAATCATGTTATTCTCTGCCAGATCAAGTAGCAAATGCATGAACCATCTGCTACAGATACCAGTGTTCACTTAGCTACATACATTTTAAAAAGTATCTTCTTACTCTGAGGAATATCTGAATTGGTTTTATTTTTTTGCAGATACATTAGAAACTGACTTGATCACAACTCTTACAGCTCAATGACTGAGATGCGTAAATAAATGAGGAAAACAGTTAAGCCCTGGTTGCCTCTTTGTAGACAGCCAGCTGTGCACCCTGGGGGTTTTTAGGACAGCTGTTACTTTCCATTATCTGCAAGTCACTTCTAGAATTGTTTTGAAAGCTGAAGGTACAATCTAAATAACTAGTCTTATAATCAACTATTTGAGTCTCTGTTCTCCTTATTGTTGGTATCAGTTTACAACAGTAATTTCCAACTGGTGGGCACAAGGGTTTTTGAAACATGCAGTTTCTGATTAGTCAGAGCCACTGAACTCTCTTCCCTGAGACTGTCAGGTAAAATGATAAAATGATGGCAGCCAACACAGTAACAGCCGTCTGCTGTGACTGGATCAAAACTGCATCTATTCTTTTGTCACACTGGCAAAAATACAGTCTTTGGTGTGGCACTGAATTTTAGTAATTAGTTTATGTGTGGAATGAGATGAAGAAGGTTGAAAATCACTGGTTTACAGTAAGATGAAAAATATAGTCATTAGATACTTTGCCCTGAAAATAGTTATAGTTAGAAAATAACTCAATTGTTTGATAAATTTGTTACATTTTAATTTCCAAGTTTAAGCTGTAAAATTATTGTTTTTAATAATTTAAAGTATTTTCACCAGATGTGGCAAAAAGCATTTTTAAAATTTTAAATTCAAGACATGGAATGTCTGTTTCTCTAACTTCCATAGTTTAGCTATATCATGATTTAAAAATATTTTGCAAGGCCAGTATTATTATTTGCAAAAAATTGCTATTTGCACACATAGATCTGTAGTCAAATATCAAGAGTTTTCTGTATCATGTCAAACACTCTGACAAGATCATTAACATCAAAATCAAACAGTACCTGGTATGAAAGGAGAAATTTTGATTACTATTTAAAAACTTGAATAAAACTTCTTTCACCAGGAAATTTAAGAATACTTACACATATTCTAAAGTAGCATTCGCATTTTTGAAGTACTGATTTTATACTTATTTTTAAAGATATGTAAGCCAAGGCAGAGATATCCTGGATTTTTCTGTGTGTGTTTTATATCACTTACCCTTTTTTAAGGTGAGACACTGTAAAATCTAAGATTTTTCAATTGTATGGAGACCACGTTTTAGAATTACCTTAGAATATTAATAAAGTTACTAGACCCCAAGCTTGGTAATTTGGTTGTTACAAAATTAACTCATGAATTGGAATATTTTTATCCCATTGCAATGACTGATAGATAAAACATATGGAATGAGTTTCGAAGTTTTTGGTGTGCAATGTGAATCTGGTTCTACGTTGCTGTTTTGAGGTGGTTTGTCTTTTTTCAGCAGGTGTATATATATCTGTGGAGAACTCTAACAGAGTTTAAAGCAGTAAATCCAGTTAGAATTAGAAGACGGTGACCTACCTCCACTCTTGATGAGGACGTCGAAGAGGTCATCCATTTGCTGACTGTGCGTGTGGGAGATCTGTGACCAAGGAGAGTACAAATTAGCTTTCCTTCCCACACACCCAGGGTGTTGTGCACCTGCGCACTCCAAGAAACCTCACACAACATCTAGTTCTGATCATTCAGTCATTCTGAAAACACTGAGGCCCCTCAGAAGTTACACCATTCATGCAGTGTCCCAGATGGTACACTGACAACATTTTGAGAGGCTTCCCATACCTTCTTTTAAAAATGTTTTAATTCACTTGTGCATTTTGGTAAAAATGTAAAGTATGTATAAAGGTGACCAGACTATATATTAATCAGCTTTACTGAGAGTAACCTGACATACAGTAAACTGAAGTTATATGAAAGACAGTTTGATAAGTTTTAACATATGTATATACCCATATAAGACTACCAGCAAAATGGAGATAATGAATATTCCATTGCTCCTAGTTGCCTCATGCTCCTTTGTGATAGTTCTTCTATCATCCCTAGCTAATGCTGATTTCTTTCATTATACATTAGTTTACATTTTTTAGGTTTATGTAAATAGACTCATATGTACTCATTTTTTTGGTGGGGGGAGGGCTTCTTTCATTCAATGATTTTGTGGTATATCCATATTGTAGATTATACCTTAGAAATAGTTCATTCCTTTTTATCACTGAGAAGCTTTTATTTATTGTAAAAAACAGAAGTTTGTGTTGTTTCCAGATTTTGGCTATTGAAGATAAAGTTGCTATGAACATTTGTGTACAAGTCTTTGTATAGACATGTGTTTTTTTTTTTCTTGGGTAAAATACTGAGGGAGTGAAGTGACTGGATCATAGGGTAGGGGTATGTGTGTAACTTTTTAAGAAATGGCTGTTTTCTAAAGCAATTGCACCATTTTACATTTTCACCAGCAATGCATGAGGTTTTCGGTGGCTCTACATTCTCTTCAACACTTGGTACAGCTGGTCATTCTAATTTTACGCCTCTAACAGGGACGTAGTGCTGCTGCATTGGGAAGTTCATGTGCGTGATTTCCCTAATGACTTGCTGCTGAGCATCTTCCCACCTGCTTATCTGCCATCCATGTGTCTTCTTTGGTGATGTCTGTTCCAATCCTTTGTCTGCGCTAACACTTTTCATGCTCACTGTTTTTACGGTAGATCTTTTTCCAACCATTTACTTTCAACATTTAAAGTATGTTTCTTGTAAGGCCTTTGCTGGGTAGTTCAGTTGCTTAGAGTATCGTTCCAATATGCCAAGGTTGCAGGTTTGATCCCTGGTCAGGGCACATATGAATCAAGCAATGAATGCATGAATGAGTGGAACAACAAACTGGTATTTCTTTTTCCTTTTTCTCTCTATAAAATCAATAAAAAAATAAAGTATGTTTCTTGTGGATGCACACATTAGTTATCTATTGCTCTATTTTCCAAAACACTTAGTGGCTTCAAACACTAAGCGAGTATTATCTGTTTCTGAAAGTCAGAAACTTAGGAATGACTTAGGTGGCAAGTTCTGGTTCGGGATCTTTCATGAGGTTGCAGTCAAGATGTTGGCTAGGTTACAGCCATCTCCAGGCTTGGCTCGCTATGTGATTGGCAAGTTGGTGCTGAGTGTTGATGGGGGTGTCCACACGGCCTCTCCGAGAGCTGCTGGACTGTGCATGTGGCATGACAGCTGGCTTTCCACACAGCCAGCAGTCCGAGAGAGAGCCAGGCGGGAAGGGTGTGCCTTTTTATCACTTCGTTTCAGAAGTCACATACCACCACTTCTGCCAGTTCCGTCTGTGAGAACTGCTCACTAAGGCCAACCCAGGGCAGAATATCAAAGAATTTGCAGAACTACCACAGAGCATATAGTTGGTTGTTTTTTTTTTAAATCATTCTGATTATCTATAATTTTATTGTTTACTAGTATGTCTTATGTAATCATTGATATTGTAAAATTCACACTTGCCATTATATTGTTTTTTTATTGATCCTGTTTTCGGTTCCTCCTTTCCTGTCATTTAAAAATTTGACTTTTTTGAATTCTAACTTAGTTCCCCCCCTCAAAGCTGTACTTCTTAGGTTCCTGTATAGCTATACAATATATATCCTTGCCCTAGCTGGGTGGCTTAGATGGTTTGAGCCTTGTCCCTTACACCAAAAGATTGTGGGTTCAGCCCTGGCTGGTGTAGCTCAGTAGATTGAGGTACGATTCCCTGTCAGGGCACATGCCTGGGTTGCAGGCCAGTTCCCAGAAGGGGCCAGTTCCCAGCAGGGGCCCCAGCATGAGAAGCAACCATACATTGATATTTTTCTCCCTCTCTTCTTCCCTTCCCTTCTAAAGATTAAAAAAAAAAAAAAAAGATTGTGGGTTTGATTCCCAGGCAGGGCACATACCTGGGTTGTGGGTTCAGTCCGCGGTTGGGACGTGTACTGGAGGCAACCAATGGATATTTCTCTCTCTCCCCCCAACCCGCTAAAATCAATAAAGGTATCTTTGGTTGAGAATTTAAAAAAAATTATATACATCCTTAATTTTTCACAGCTACTTAATTTTACTTTTTTAAATTATTTCAAACTTTAAACATAGGATTTATTGGGGTGACAGTGGTTCAGGAGTGCACGTCTGTAACACAGCATCTGTGTACTGTCCTGTGTGCTCAGCACCCTGAGTTGAGTCTCCTTCCATCACCGTTTATCCCCCTTTACCTTCTTCTACCTCTCCCCACCCCCTCTCCTTCTGGTAATCACCATACTATTGTTTGTGTTTGAGTTTTTTTTTTTCTTAATCCCTTCACCTTTTTTAACTGCCCCGCCAACCCCTACCCCCAATGGCTGTCAGCCTGTTCTATATATTTGTGCTTCTGTTGCTATTTTGTTTGTTAAATTATTTTGCTCATTAGATTCCCCATGAGTGAGATCACAAGGTATTTGTCCTTCTCTGACTGGCTTATTTCACTCAACATGAGCTTTCCAGGTCCATCCATGCTGTTGTAAAAGGTAAGATTTCCTTCCTTTTGTTTTTTTAATGACTGAGTAGTATTCCATTATGTAATGTACCACAGCTTTTTTAATCTACTCGATCTACTGATAGATACTTGGGCTGCTTCCAAATCTTGGCTATGGTAAATAATGCTGCAATGAACATAGAGGTACATATATTCTTTCAAATTAGTTTTGAGTTTCTCATATTCCCAGAAGTGGAACCATGGGGTCAGGCTACTTAATGCTGTACCTCTGCATATAAAATATAAAACCCCTGTAAACATACAACCTATTTATTTCCCATATCCTTTATTAATTTTGAGTATTATATCTATGTATTTTATAAATCCACCAGGACAATGTTATTTGTTATAGTACAGGTTTGCTTGATAAGAAAATATCTCTAGTTCACTTAACATTCTTCAGAGATATTTTTACTTGATACAGAATTCTGGGTTGACAGTTCTTTCCACTTGAAGAACTTTAAGGCTATCTTGCCACTCTTTCCTGGCCTCCACTGTTTCTGATGAAAAGTAGACCACAAATGAAACAGTTGCTCCCTTTTGAGTACTATATTGCTTTTTTCTTGATGCTTTCAAGATCTGCTCTTTAGCTTTGGCTTTGATGACTTGACTATGATATGATGAAGCCTTCCTTCTATTTATCTCGGTGCTCACTGAGCATCTCAGAGCTTTACGTAAACTTGTCTTTTATCATATTTGTGAAAAGTTCAGCCATTATTTTTAAAAATATTTTACCTGCCTCATTTTTCCTCTCCTCTCCTGGGACTGGTCTTAGATTATACTGGTCTTAGATTATCTGATCTTAAATAACAGGTTTCTAAGGCTCTTTTAACCTTGAAAAGTTTTTTCTTTGCCATTCAGATGGGTAAGTGCTATAGATCTATCCTCAAGTTCGGTTTTTTTTTAAACCTCTGCCACCCTCACTCTGCTAAGATCATCTATAATTGTTTCATTTCAGATACTGTATTTTACAGTTTTAGAATTTCCATTTTATTCAAAAAATTATATTTGCATAACATTTACTATCTTTTTTCCTTATAAATGGTTTTTTAAGTTATTTTAAAATTACAGTTGACATATAGTATTATATTAGTTCAGGTATACAACATAGTGATTAGACATTTATATGTTACAAAGTGATCACCTCCACAAGTCTACTACCTATCTGACATCATGCATAGTTATTACAATATTACTGACTATATTCCCTGTATTATGCTTTACATTTCTATGACTGTTTTTATACCTGGCCATCTGTACCTCTTAATACCTTCCTGTTTTTAACCCATCCCTTCAACCCCCTCCAATCTGGCAACCATCAATTTGTTCTCTGTATCTGTATGTTTGTTTTGTTTAGATTCTACATGTAATTGAAATCACACAATATTTGTCTCTCTCTGACTATGTTACCTAGCCTAATAACCTCCAGGGCACAGGTGGCAAACACACGGCTCGTGGGCTGAATCCGGCCCTCCACCTGGTTCTATCCAGCCCGGCACCTTGTTTCCACCTGGTGGCAGTGCAGAGCTCCTTGCCCCTAGTTAAGGAGCAGTTAACGTTTATAAAGTCCTAACATTACATTTGGCCCTTTGAAGGCAACCGCGAGGCTGACATGGCCCCCAGTGAAATTGAGTTTGACACCCCTGCTCTAGGTCCATCCACATTTTCGCAAATGATAAAACTTCATTCTTTATTATGGCCAAGTAATATTTCATTGTGTGTATGTACCACACCATCTTTATCCAATTGTCTGTTGATGACTGGGGCTGGTTCCATATCTTGGCTGTTGTAAATAATGCTGCAGTGAACATAGGTGTACATATATCTTTTTGAATTAGTGTTTTGGATTTCTTTGGATACTCAAGAATTGGAATTGTTAGATCATATGCTAGTTCTCGTTTTAATTTTTTGAGGAACCTCCATACTGTTTTCCAGAGTGGCTACAACAATATGCAATTCTACCGACAGTACATGAAGGTTCCTATTTCTCCCCATCCTATCACCTGTTTGTTGATTTATTGATGATGGCCATTCTGACAGGTGTGAAGTGATACCTCATTGTGGTTTTCGTTTGCATATCCCTGGTTAGCGATGTTGAGCATCTTTTCATATGTCTGTTGGCCATCTGTATGTCCTCTTTGGAGAAATGCCTACTTAGGTCCTTTTCGTAAAATTTTTTAAAATGTTAAATGTATGAGTTCCTTATAGAGGCTCCAGCTGAAGTAATACCTACTTGAGTGTGGTGGTAGAGTAATAACATGGGTGTAATAACTTACAGTTTTATTTTGAACATTTCACCTAAAATGTCATACAGTGTGCTTGAATGTGATAGTTATGTTACAGAATTACATGCTTATGATTTTGTAATCAAAGATTTTACAATAAAAAGGGGTGTTACCTGCGCCAGACCCTGTACATTTAGAACACTAGCCCCTTACCAGATGTGTCACTGGCAGATACTTCCTCCTGTTCAGGAGGCTGTCTTCTCATTTTGCTGATGGTTTTCTTTGCTGTGCAAACTTTTTAGTCTGATGCAGTCCCATTTGTTTATTTTTTCTTTCATTTCCCTTGCCCAAGGAGACGTATCCAAAGAAATATTACTAAGAGTGCTGTCAAAATTTTACTGTCTATGTTTCCTTCTAGGAGTTTCGTGGTTTTAGGTCTTATATTTTTAGTTAATTTTTGTATATGATGTAAGAAAGTATTCTAACTTAATTTTTTTGGTATTTCTGTCATTTTCCCAACACCATTTATTGAAGAGATGTCTTCAGCCCATTATATGTTCTTGCTTCCTTTGTCACAGATTAACTGACCTTAAAGGCATGAGATTACGTCTGGGTTCTCTGCTCTCTCCTGTTGATCTGTGTGTCTGTTTTTATGTCAGTACATGTTTCCGTCCCTGGAGACAGCTGCCCCTGCAGCCTTTGCCCTGAAGTTATTAGTCAGTTTAATTCCTCCTGTGTATCCCTGGTGCTTTTTGAGCTACTGCCCCAGCACAGGAACTTCAAGTGAGTAAGTTTATGAGCAGGTGAGTCAAAGGCATGATCACTTTCCCACATACAACATTTTGTAATGTATCAAAATGCTGTCACATTTCTTATTCCCTTTACACCTCCCAGCACCAGTAGCCAAATGACATGGCTGTGACCAACCCCATTATGCATATGATAAAAATGACTTGCCCTTGCTCCTACCCCTCCAAGAGAGCAATTGCTAGACTGTCAGAGTACAACTGAAAATCCAGATTCCCGCCCCCTTCCAAATCTTTTGCCTGTTTGCCATAACAATACTGGCCAGTTTTTGGCGGCCATTTTTTACCTCATGTGTATATATTTTTTCTTTGTACTAGCTCTAACCATTTCAATTTGAGGATTTTTTTTTGCTCTTTCATATTTCCATAATAATGATCAACACCATAACAAGAGCTGCTACCATTTACTGAGTCACTGAAATTGCTAGACCCAGTACAAGCTGTTTTAAAATATACTATCCGATTTAATTCTCAGCCCTGTGTGGTAGGTAATGTTACACGTCTTAAAGATGAAGAGAGAGAAGCTCACAGAGGCCAAGTGCATAGCTGCTGAAAGAGAAAGATACCACTGAAATACTGATCACATGACAGCCTGACAAACTCAGAGACTGAAAGTAACCACACAGGACGGTCTGCTCACATATTCCTAACTGGGCTGGTCACAGCAGGTCATGTCCTAGGCTATAGCAAAGGTCAAGGTTTACCTTAAGTGAGCTCTGTCTATTGTTTATGCATCCAGGATAACATGTCTGAGTAATTTTCCTTTCCTCCTCCTAAAGGCGCAACCACTGGCACCAGGGCCTGAGACCATGGACGCCTCACTGTCACCTTGTTCCCTGCATACCACCTCCACATGCTGTAAATGTGGATTATTAACTGTCTTGCACCCACCAGTGTAAGAGAGGTATGTGTTCTGTGATTTCTCCCGCCTCCTTCACCTGCCAACAGTGGATTCCATTGAACTCTCGTCCCTTAATTCTAATGTATAAAAATAAGCTGCAAAACTGCCATTTGGTGGAGATTAATTTGTAAATTATAAAAATGCATGATCAGTATGTTCCGTATCAGTATGTTCTAATATAATAACGCATGTCAACGTGAATAAACAACCACAGTGAAAACCGCCCTTCCTAACGCGCAGAGATTTTCAGCCCAGCATCACATGTTCTCTGTGCAGACGGGTCCCTTCTCCTCCCCCTGCCCCTCTCCAGCAGTCAACTACTGTATGGTCCCATTTATATGCAGAATCTAAACAAAATAAATGAAGAAAAGACCCAGAAACAGACTCAGGTCTAGAGAATAAGCTGATGGTTCTGAGCTGATGGTTGTGGGGGGATTATGGGAATATGAAAAATGTCACAACAAAATGAGTATACTGTACATAGCCCATCCATTCAATACACACTTATGTGAAAGATTGAGTTATGAAGTAGTATGACTCCAAATACGTGTAAAAAGTTCTATGGACATAAAAATGGGTTATACACAGCAGAATGTAAATAAAAGGACTGTGAGTGGTAGGACCATTGGTGTTTTTCTTCTATTTTATATTCATCTGGGATTTCCAAATTTTCTGAATGAACACACACTTTTTATAATTAGAAAACAAGTTATACAAAGACTTTCCAGAGACTTTGAAATCTTTCAAAGATTTCATGAGCAAAACATAAATGTTAAAAGTGAAAGGTGAGTAACAAGCTCTCTAGGAACACAGGAAAAAACCAAAGTCAGATTGTTTCAAAACCTCAGACACATCAATGTGTCTCCAAACCTGCAAGAACTTGAAAGACATGGTCGGAGCTGACTTACATTTTTCTTCATTTTCTGTCACTATCAACTTGTCAGTTCCCCTTAGAGGAGGACCTTATATAGGAAAAAAATGGAAAAAGAAAAGAGGAACCTGTGTGACAATCACCTCTATCCTAACAGGACCCAACCAACAGCTGGCCCCAAAGAAAAGTTAAAAGAGAGAACCCTCATTCTGAGAAACTGCAGGTTACACAGCTGCAGAAACCTGCTTAGAAGTTGCAGTCTTCACAGTAAAGGATATTTTGATTTTAAATGGCATTTAAAATGCAAATAAGGCTCCTACCCATGAACTCTGTGTTTCTATTGAGGCAAGTCCATTTTAGAAGAGATTCGATTTGAGGACAACATGAAACTGACAGATGAAACAGAAGCCACTGGCCTCACTTACCTCTGGGAGAGAGGACTGGGTGCTGCGTGTCTGCTTGATGGCCTCCTCATAGCGGGGAGGGTCTTTCGTCTTGGGTACTGGGCTCCCAAACAGAGAGTGCTGCACGACAAACTGCTGGGTGGGAGGGGGCGAACTCGGCTGTGGCGAACAGAGGAGGAGCACGTGTCAGCTCTGGGCAGTGAGCTTCCTCACACCCTGGCTGGGCTCGGCTCCACTGTTCCACACACAGCAACCAAATCATGGAACTCTTAAGCCTACAAGGCTGAGTCAGCATGGGCAGGCCACTTGTGTGGGGACGGCCATCTTCACTGTGATAACAGCTCAGCTGCCCCTTAACAATGTCACCACAGTATTTTCAGCTATTGCCCCTGTGAATACTGATCTTCAGCCATTCCAAGCCTAAAGCTTTGGAACGATGTGTACCCAGTAAGCATGTCACTGCTGCGGTCACCACAGGATTACCTTACTGGGAGGGCTGGGTCCGTTTTGCAGGGATGGGAGGGGTACACTTCTGGACTGGAGAACACTGCTGGGTGTCTTGTTAATAAAGGGCTGCTGGACTGCTGGGGCGGGTGGTCTCTGATATGAAAGGACTGTATTGGATGCTGAGCTGGTGAAAGCCTGTAATGAATAAATATTTTCCCATCAGTTTATCCTTCTGCTGTTCCTACTAAAGAAAATCATGTTTTAATTAAAACAGGGGTCGACTTCTGGCCAAGATGGAGGCGTAGGTGGAAACACTGTGCCTCTTCGCACAACCAAGTTTAAAGACAAAGTTTTAGTAACAAAAACGCAACCAAAACATAGAAAGTTGAAATTACGGAAGTCTGACAACAACGAACGGTTCAGCCAGACCAGTAAGAGGGGCGGAACCAGTGGTGGAGCGGGGTGGGGCAGGAAAGATCCAACCGACCCAGGTGCACAGGCAGCAGTAGGCGGATCCCAGGTATGGGGCAGCAACGGGCAGACCCAGTGAGGGTGCAAGGCTGCAGTCTGACTGCAGTCACCCATTCGCGCGCAGATAAACCAGGCGAAGGAGCAAGCAGTGAGACAGACCACACAGGCCCCAGCGATGGGAAGCAGCAGAGGGGCCCGCCATTGCCCTTCTTTGACCCTGCCCCCACATAGAGCATCACAACCCAGCGACCTGGGTGGCCCCGCCCTGATGAACACCTAGGGCTCTGCCCTTCATACGTAACAGGCACGAACAGCCCAAAACATTATGGCTCGAGAAGAACTCAAAGCCCCAGAGCCAATAACTCTAAGTGACCAACCTATCAGATGCACAGTTCAAAACACTGGTGATCAGGATGCTCACAGAACTGGTTGATTTTAGTCACAAATTAGATGAAAAAATGAAGGCTAAATTAATTGAAATGAAGGGAAATGAACAGGAAACCAATAGTGATGAAAAGGAATCTGGGACTCAAATCAAAGGAGTGGACCAGAAAGAGGCAAAAAATGACCAAACAGAAAAGAATGAAGAAACAAGAATTCAAAAAAATGAGGAGAGGCTTAGGAACCTCCAGAACATCTTCAAACGTTCCAACATCCGAATTAGAGGGGTACCAGAAGGGGAAGAGGAAGAGTGACAAGTGGAAAACTTATTTGAACAAATAATAAAAGAGAACTTCCCCAATCTGGCAAAGGAAATAGCCTTCCAGGAAGTTCAGAGAGTCCCAAAGAAGTTGGATCCAAGAAGGAACACACCAGAGCACATCATAATTACATTAGCCAAGATTAAAATGGAGAGAATTCTAGAAGCAGCAAGAGATAAGAGGACAGTCACCTACAAAGGAGTTCCCATCAGACTGTCAGCTGATTTCTCAAAAGAGACCTTACAGGCAAGAAGGGGCTGGAAAGAAGTATTCCAAGTCATGAAATCCAAAGACCTATATCCAAGACTGCTCTATCCGGCAAAGCTTTCATTTAGAATGGAAGGGCAGATAAAGTGCTTCTCAGATAAGGTCAAGTTCAAGGAGTTCATCATCACCAAGCCCTTATTATATAGAATGTTAAAGGGACTTATCTAAGGAAAAGAAGATAAAAAAGATGAACAGTGAAAGGACAGCAAACTCACAGTTATTAAGAACCACACCTAAAACAAAAGGAAACTAAGAGGACAGCTAGATCAGGAGCAGAACCATAGAAATGAAGATCACATGGAGGGTTAGCAACAGGGGAGTGGGAGGAGGAGAAGGGAGGAGAAGGTACAGAAAATAAGTAGCATAGATGGTAGGTAGAAAATAGGGGGGAGGGTAAAAATAGTATGGGAAATTAAAGGGGGGAATGGGGGGGAGGGGGTGTGCAGGGTGGAGGGGAATGAAGGGGGGAATAAGACAATGGTAATGGCATAATCAATAAAATATATATATAAAAAGTAGAATTTACTAATATTTGATAAAATTTCCTTTAAGTTGGAAGTAATGATCTCTAATTCTATTATTTTAAGATTCTGTGAATAAACCTTTATTTGTATAGATACTATTTTTCCCTAAAACAAAGAAAACTGTCTCAACACATTCACTAAGACAGAAAACTGTCTTAGTGAACATTCACTAAGCTTATCCCTACACTAAAATGTTGTTTTGGCCCCAAACTAAGTGATACGCAACTAGAACTCCTGCATGTTCTCAGAGTCTGAAAGAGAGGATGTGCATTAACGTTACTGTTCTGATGTGAGAGGCTGCCTCTGTCCGTCCCTTGAGTTGTCTCAGCTGAAACAGCTCACACCACCCTGGGGCACACTTACCGGTCCATTTAATTATCTAGGTTCTTTCCTGTAGGACACGAAAACTCTGGGACTGATACTAATTCTCAAGGTTTATAATAGTAAGACCTATTTTTGAGGCCTTAGTATTTTTCTGTTGAGGAGATGTACACATAGCTCCACCTACTGGGTAAGTGGGAATTCGGCTAACTTTTGGGTGGGAATTGGTGTAGAGGACGCTGAACCCTAGATCGACACCATCCGTAATTTTGAAGATGAGGAAAATGACACTCAGAGAAAGAAAGTGAACTGTACATAAGGCCCAACATGCAGGTGAAGCAGAATGGGATGTGAGGGTGATCTCGATGCAACATCTGTCCCCCCACTGATCGCCAGGGTCCATTTGGCTGATCTGGCTGGCTAGGCGGGTGTCCCCTTCCTCCCTCACCGATCCAGGCGTGTCCCTCCTGAAGCTGCGGGCTCGAAGAGGATGACCTTCCCAATGCGGGGACAGGACCGGTCTTCGGTCAGGGGTATACCTGTCGCTGCGGAGGTCCCCTGCTAGAACCTCCAAAGGAGCTCTCAAGAACTCTTTCTCTTTCCCCCCCAAATTGAATAATCTGCAGCCAAATGACATCTGACTTCATGCTCGCAGATGGGAGATAGATCATAAAAGAGAACATAGGGAGCTTCCCCAGATGAAGCCCGGAGAAGATGCCGAGTGGCTGGCAGACGAGAGTACCAACCAGCCACTGTCTGCCCTCCTTTAGCATTCACCAACCTTTCTGACTTGCTGTGGCTGACTGAGCACATGTTGTGTGAACGTGTCTGGTTTCTGAGGTACGGTCTGGACCAAGCCTGAGGACAAGGCGGTAGCTGCTATCTGAGGCTGAGTCTGGATTCCTGCTTGTGGTGGAGTCTAGGATGCAAAAAAAATTTTTTAATTGTCGTAATCAAAGTTAGAATCAGGAGTTTAGATGTGGTCATTTGGGGATCACATCTGAAATAAGATAAAATATTTACAGATATACACAACTCATCAGCACCTAAATTTGAGCCTAACAATTTGAAACCATAGAGTTAAAAGACCAGACCAGTTATTTTCATGCTCTTATTATTCTTTTAAGTGGCTAAGATGTTCATCTGGAAATTCTGTGAAAATAAAAAACTGAAATAAAAAAAACCAGTAGCATCTTTAGCACCGAATAGGTCAGATATTAAGAGCAGCAAGGAAATCTGGGAGGCTCGAGAGCCCAAATTCCTGCATTTAAGCTGCAATAGGCCTGCTCTCTGGGGACAGTCAGCCATGTACCAGATCACACAGGCCCAGAATGCAACGTGGTTCTTCCCCTAGAGCAGAGAGGGGTGTCAGACTCATTTTCATCAGGGGCCACATCAGCCTCACAGTTGCCTTCAAAGGGCCGAATGTAATTTCAACTCCTTACCAGTTAAGGAGTAGTCACATTTATACAGCCCTAAAATTATTTCAGCCTTTTGAAGGCAATGTGAGGCCGATGTGGCCCCCGGTGAAAATGAGTCTGACACCCCTGTCCTAGAACATCAACTCTAATGGAAGATTTGGACAGGGGAAAGTCCAGAAAAGCTGTACTGAAGAGCAGACTTTCCACTTCATAGATCCTCTAAAGATTAAGCAGGGGGATTAGGATTTTTGGAAATGCCAGGGCCTGTGGGTGATGCCTTCTAACTTCAGGGCACACTCTGCTAAGGATACCTGGGTAGTCACGGTTGAGAAGCATGTGGACCATATTTTGCTGAAACCTACGGCAATCACATTACATAAAAACAAACTTAAGGTCAATGCACAGGTTACGTAAACATAAAAGGAAATTTCACTAGTAGCAACTCTCTCAAAACTTTCACTTCTAAATGTTGTGGTCACATTTTCCTTAGTGTAGGCGTCTTCACATTACTGGTGCCTTTTAAAGACTACATTTGGGAGGTAGAATGTAAGAGTGGACATAAGAGTCTCAAAGCTCTGGAGTCAGAAGGCTGAGGTTTAAACACTAATTCTGTTCTCAGGCAACTTGCTAAGTCTTCAAGGGTCTCAGTTTCACTATCTAGAAATGGGTTTTATCACTTGGCTCTTCTAGGGAAGGGAGGATTAAATGAAGTAAGCCATTTAAAGTACTTGATGTTGTGCCCAGTGCATGAAAAGTGCTCAGTGACAGCAGCTATTATCATGATGTCATAGGTATTTAAAAATAACTACATGTACTATACTATACTGTGTTCATTAAAGGTAAAAGGTACCATAAATAGAAAAGCACCCTATATAAAAACAGTGCTGATGATTCAAAATTTTGAATACCCCAGTCCCCCAGAACAGTTTTCTGCAACTGTGAAGCCTGATTTGGAGGCATTTGTGAAAAAGCTCAGGTATCTGTCACCGGCAGAGTGTCCATTTTATGCAGGCTGCAAGGCAAAGTAGTTAGAAGACACACTTCACACCTGGAGTTTGAGGCTGCCCACGGGGAGCTGCACTGAGGTGACACTGGAGCCCTGGATGGACACTGGGAGCAGCAGCTGAGCAGTCTGCGTGGTCAGCAGAGCCTGAGGCTGAGCGACAACAGCAGGCGGCGCCTGTCCCTGGGAACTCACGTAGAACTGTGGGACGATGCTCTGCTGCTCTGCCTGGGCCACAGGCACCTCTTGCTTGATCACCACAGCCTTTTTGGCAACAAAGGTCTGGCCACCTGTAGAGACAGGCTGGCCTACAGAATGGCTGGCTCCCGGGACAGGCTGCCTGGGGCTGGAGCAGTCAGTGAGTGAGGTCTCATCTTTAATGGAGGAACTGACACTGCCATGCTTCTGCTCTAACTGGCTGACAGAATTAGCTGGGGCACCGGCCTGGGGTTCCAGTGGCCGCCGCTGCTGCTGCTGCTGCTGTTGCCCTCGTTTTTCAACCTCAAGTTGCATTTTCAGAACTTCCACGAGCTTCTGCTCTTGTTCCAGTTTCCTCTTTAGCTCTTCAATCTGCTTCTCTTTCTCCTGAAGCTTGCGATCCTTCTCAGCTGCATCCAGCTCCAGACTGGACAGAGTGCTGCTGGTGGGACTTAGGCTGTCTTCATTACCTGTTACTCTCAAAGGGGATGAACACAAGAACTGTGAAGGAGACATCATGGTCATAATCTCAGTAAATGTGTCTGCCATGTTTGTGTCCTCGGTGCTGAGACTGGACTGTTCGGAAGGAGATGGTGAGATCGGCAGAGGAGAGTTAACAGTTTCCACATGGGCTACATTACTGCTTCCAGCAGATGGCAGTTCTGCCTTGAAGGTGGAGCCTGAGCTAGTCACACAGTTTTGTAGTGTGGTTACTGGCAGCGCCATGGTGATTTCTGGGTTACTGGTGACGATGGCAGATGTTGACACTGCCACAATGCCATCAGCAGCAACGCCATTGCTGTTCATCTCTTGGTAGGGTTTCAGGCGTTCGATAAGGTTCGGTTTGGTGCCTGACACTGGAAGACCCCTTAACTTCAGTTCTGTCTTCAGTTCTGATACCTAGAAGTACAAACAAATCAGCTCTCCTCTGGTATTAAAGCTTTCTGACAAACCCACAGGACAGTATATTATTGCATATTTAGAAGTGGGACAGTTCCTTTTTCCTTTTTAACACACACAACTATAGAGCTGAAGAAACTGAAAGGCCAGTAATAAATAACAAAGCAAGAATTTTTAGGAGTGAATTTCTGTTATGTCAAAGAAAAGACTTACTACTAGAAACACTGATGACAGCAGCTCCATTTATTGAGTAATTACTATGTGCCAGACACTGTTGGAAGTGCTTTATTCTTTCACTTAATTTTCACATGAGGTGTAGGTGTTATTCTTAACTATCACATTTCCCCACTTCTCCCAAACTTGGCAATGAGCAGGGGGGAAAAATGTGTCTCTGGAATCAGAACAGGTATGGTGTTGGCACATGGTATTATATACTCAATAAATGAGAGCTATTACTGGTCACTATAATGATACTGTAAAGTAAACTTAATGGAGTAAAAGGAAAGTGCCTCTATGAGGGTTATCATATTGTTGGTAAAGTTAAACATCTGCTGAAAAGTATCTACAAAAACCTTGCAAACCATTTACATTTTTGTGGTATTCGTGGGTGAATAAACTCTACTTGGAATTATCACCTTTAAGTCGTCCAGGCTGGAAGGCAGAGGTCCTGGCTTTCTCATGGGAGCAGGCATATTCTGTCTTGCTGTGTTAGGTATGGTATTGTTCAAAGCTGAATTCCCACTGTTGTTATTTTTGTCATTGAGAGGCCTTCAAAAGAAAAGGAAAACCAGAGTTTATAAGAAAATAATTTTTGGATTTGATATTGCTTATACTAAAAATTTGACTGTTAACTTAGAAAGAGAAAAATACCATGGTCATGAATGGGAAGACTCAGTCTGGTAAAGATGGTAATCTAATTAGGTCACAATAAAAATCCCTGTAGGTCAGGGGTGTCCAACCTTTTGGTGTCTCTGGGCCACACTGGAAGAAGAGTTCTCTTGGGCCACACATTAAATACACTGAGGCATGTGATCACAAAAAAAATCTCGTAACTTTTTAAGTAAATTTGTGATTTTGTGTTGGGCTGCATTCATAGCCATCCTGAGCCACATGTAGCTCATGGGTTACAGGCTGGACACCCCTGCTTAGGTTTTGTTTGTTTGCTTGCTTGGTAGAAATTTATAAAACAGTTCTAAGCTTTATATGGAAATGCAAAGAACCAAGAATGGCCATGGCATCCTTGAAGAAGAAAAGCAAGATAACAAAGCTGGGAAAGCCATACCACTAGATACCAATGTTTATTAAAAAGCCAGTTATTCAGATAGCATGGTGCTGGTGCAAAGACAGAACAACAGATAAATGGGAGAGATCAGAGAATACAGAAACAGCCCCCCCAAAGGTGACATGGCACTCCAGTTCCACTAAATGGTACTGGGCCAAACTGGATGTTCATACAGGGAAAAATAGTGCTCCAGCTTGACCCCTACCTCACATCATGCCCCAAAACCTGAGTGTGATTTTTGAAAACAATACAGCTTTTAGAGAAAATTAGGATAATATCTTCATGGCCTTTGGATAGGAAAAGATTTCTTAAACAGGACACAAAAGCACTAGCTAAAAGGGTCATCTTTAAGAGGGTGAAAAGTCAAGCCATAGGAAAAATAATACATTTTTCTCACAAAAGACTCATATCTACAATATATAAAGTCTTGCAAATCAGTAAGACAGAAGACTCAAAGGGAAAGTCTTAAATAAGCATATCGCAAGAAAGTATGAGGTCTGTCCAGAAGGCATGTAGGCTTGTAATATGAAAAATAGAGACATTTACTGAAAAAGATACAAGAAATATTGTACATAGGACAATAATGCCTCAGTCCCCTTCAAAGTAGGCACCTTGGGACCTCACACAGTTCTCCCAATCGTCATCAGCTGCCCCATCCTATTTTCCTGATTCTCATCAATGGTCTGAAATCTCCTCCCTTTCAAAGGGGATTTTAGTTTTGGGAAAAACCAGAAGTTGCAGGATATCAAATTTGGGCTGTAGGAGGTCTGAGTCACCTGGGTGGTTTGATGTTTCACCAAAAAACTGCACAAGACACGATGCATGAACCATAAACTCATGCGTTGCTGCGATGAATCTGCCAATCACCAGTTGCCCATAACGGCGGCCTTCTGAATCATTCAAATAGATTTTATGGAGAAATGTTCAAGCTTAATGCAAAATCTGAGGCAGATGTGTTGCTCTACTTGCTCAGTCCTTTTGAATGCGGTGGCTGCACAGACATAAGCTCACTCAGTGGTGTCTACCGGCCCCACTGACTAGTACAGTCAAGTTGTCATTGTTCACGCATGCGCTTTCCAGTCCATTCTCCTTGGCTGCCAGGTTACATCGATGTTGCACAAACTGTTCTCCTTATATTAACAATGGTTAGACTTTTTCCAGACAGACCTCATGTATCCAAACGATCAATAAATACATGAACAAAGCCTTAACCTCAACAGGTATGAGAAAAATGCAAATAAAAAGCACAACAAAACAGCACTGCACATCCAGAAAGATTGCTACTATATTGTAGGCTGCTGATACCAACTGCTTAGAACAGCCAGAACTCTCCCTCATAGAAAGCTGGTAGAACTGTGAACTGGCACAACCACCTAGGAGAACTTTCATAGTACTTACTAAACAAAAACCCAGGTCTATCTGCTGGCCCAACAATTCTATTCCTATGCAGATACCTGACAAAGACATATATTTATCAGTTAAAAGATGCACACTAGGAATATTTATTATAGCAGTTTTTGTAACAGCCCCAATTGGAAGCAATCCACTTGTCTGTCAAGAGTACAGTGGATGGATAAATTATAGAACACTAGACAGCAATAAAAATGAACTGCTGCTATTTGCACCAATAAAGATGCATCTCACAAATATAATGATGAGCAAAAGAAGCCAGACACACAGGTATATTGTAGGGTTGCATTTATGCAATATTCAAAAGCAGGCAAAATTAGTCTATGGGGTGGAAGTCAGGGCAGTCACCAAGAGTGGCTGATAATGTTCCATTTCTTGATTTAGGTGGCTACAGGGGATGCTTACTTAGGCATCAATTTCACTTATGATTTATACATTTCTCTGTATGTAGGTTATACTTCACTTTTTAAAGCTTATTAAAAATGTTGGTTAGTATAAGAGTTAGGTGCCTTTGTACTGATTTCTTTAAAGGCCTGACCAGAAAAAACTGAGGTCCTCTCTGACTTCTTTCGATTGTGATACTCCTGGCCACAACGGCATTTCCTTTTCTCATGGTTGACACCTATTAAAGAAAGGTGACATGACGGCTGACACCATACAGTCAATTCCGCTGCAGCCTGAGGCTTTGCCATCACATAAGCCTTGGCCCTGAAGCCAGAGAGGTTCTGAATTCCGCACTCTGAACTAGGGACCTGAGGTGATGATGCACGTGGGGTAAGGTCCACAGCTGGATAAGCTTTCTCAAGTGAGCACGTTTGAAGCCAGTTCTGGCCGTGTCAACAGCTAACTCTTTACATTTAGTTGACTCTTTTTAAACCTGCTTTAAATTTTGTTGAATATCTGAAGTATTTGAAATGAAGTTTCTTGAAGCTTGGATGAACTGACAAATATTTTGTTATTCTCATTTCTAAAAACTCAACTTTTAAATCATTTTTAAATTATGAAAACAATTTATTTAAATCAAAATGTCTCAATTTTAATCTTTAATACTGTCCCTGCAAGGAGCCTTTTTAGACACCTTTCCCCTAATCACTTTCCCTATGAAGTTTTAACACCATAATTGTGCTATATACCTGTCTATGTAATGCACATCTGTGCTTTACTAAGTAAAAGTGTAAGATTCCCCTCGATCAACTCTTGTTCCGTTATGAATGAGATCATCTCCTTGCAAATGCATGACTTCAATGAATTAGTCTATTCATGCTGTCATTTTGGATGAGATTCTATAATACACTTGGTTGCCATGATGAAGAGTTCGGTGTTTAATTCAACTTTTAAAATAAGAGAAACAAACTGATCGTTTTTTTCCTGTGAATCAGGAGGAAGAAGTGGGTGATGAATGTGATCACTGTGTGGATGAGAAACCTGAAGCTGAGAGACGGCCTGACCTCCCAGGCCCTCAGCTAGTGCACAGCCGGCGCTGTACTGGCACTACAGCCCCGTGTCTTCAGGCTCTTGCTCCTTCCATAGCACCCAAGGGCTGCATTATCAAAAAAAACCCCACTACTGTGGGCACTACAGGACTTCCACATTTAGTTTCTTGTAATGGAATTTTGGTAAAAATAAAGTGTGTTAATTAGAAAATAGCATCTCTACTTTCAGGACCTGAAGTTAAACAGAACTGGTGTTCAGTCTTTGTGTAGTGAAATAATACTGAAAAACCAGTGATCTTCCCCCTCCTGGCTCCTGTATCTTTTTGTGTGATAATTTCCTTGGATGGGTTGGCTTGGTTACTTTAGTGCAGGGAATGTTTCAGGAGGAGCGGGGAACTGAAGCCTTGATGGAAAGACAGAGAACTGCTCGAGTTCAGAAACCCTGCATCTCAGATGTATTCTTCCCATCCATGAAGCCAGTCCCATGTAGTCAATTTATTTCATTATAGGAAAGACTATTTCATTAACAGCACAAAAAAATTGTTTTATGGGGTTTCAGTTGAACCGTTTCCTCATCTGGGAATGGGGTCAATAATATCAAACTTCCTGGAGTAACTGTGCGGATGATGGTGATGATGACGGCATGGGGCATCCTAACGAGCACACAAACAGGAGCCCTCGTGCTGTTATCATCACGGTGCCAAGGAGGGCGGCCGGTGGGGATGCCTCCCTGGGACCTGGACAGAGCTGTGAAGCAGTGGCTGTGTCTGATGCTCTTCCAGCTCTCTGCATTCCCGGTCCCCTGCCAATGTCAACAGCTCTCTCAGGCCTGCTTACTCTTAAAATAATGACACGCTACAAGATTCTTCCCTCTTTCATCTCTGTGCTCTGATACAGATTTAAGTGCTTTACAGGAAGGTCCGAATGACTAATTGGTCTAACTTTCCTTGACATATTTGGTTCTTGAAAGAAAACAGTGAATTGATAATCATTAGCATGTGAGGAGATATTTCTTTTTATTTTTTAAATATGGAATGTTTCCTGAACTTGCATATTATCCTCGCACAGGGGCCATGCTAATTGTCTCTGTATTGTTCCAACTTTAGTACATGTGCTGCCAAAGCAAGTACAAGATATTTCTTAAGAGAAGTTCTGAGCGTGTCTCAATGGTTTTCTACTCCTAGAAAACAGGGGCCCCCACAGAGGAATGCTTAGCCTACATGTAGAAAACAAGTGTCTATAACTCAAGTGATTATAAATCAAGGGGCTTGTGCATAGAGAGTAATTTTTCCTTGTATGAATTTTTTCTTTAGAAGTATCTTTTAAAAAAAAGATTTTATTTACTTATTTTTAGAGAGAGAGGAAGGGAAGGAGAAAGAGGGAGAGAAACATCAATATGTGGTTGCCTCTCCAGCGCCCCCTATGGGGACCTGATCTGCAACTCAGGCCTGTGCCCCGACTGGGAATTGAACTGGCAACTCTTTGGTTCATAGGCCGGTGCTCAATCCACCAACCCACACCAGCCAGGGCCCTTGTATGAGATTTTATTTTTTTCTAGAATTTTTTTCTCAAGTTGAATGTAAATATCCCTTTCTCCTAAAAAGTGAACAAAATGAAGGACAGGGGCTTTGCATTTTTATCTCTTTCTGAGAAAAAAGCACATTGAGGATGTATAACTATTAGTTTCCTTTATTACATAATTAAAGTAAGCTATAGCTGTCTTGCTATGGATTGAATCTCAGAAACTGTCAGAACTCACTCCCTCTGTCCCTCCTGATTGGGCTCAAACTTTGCAAATGTGTTTTTTTCTTCATGGTTGTTGGTCACAAAGACCTTTTATTCATTGTCTTTTGGAATAGCTATCCTGTTCCTTCATTTCCATTAGAAGTGCCCTTTTACCTTCTTGCATCTATGTTACCACAAAATTTCTAACTAGTTTTCCTACTTCCACATCCCCTTCAGTACTGGGGTCGAACTATTCTTCCCCGCACGCTGACTTTACACGTCAGTGCGGCCTCTGAAATGCCTACCACATCAAGATTAGAGTCGTCCCAGCTTCACGTTCCTCCAGACACTGGCTCAACCCAATTCTGTCTTCCACTTTTCTTATAATTTAATCATATTCATTATTTAACAGGCCACTTTTCTCACCATCCAATAAATAGGCACTGCACTGTGTACTTCCACTCACATCATTCCCCACTGTTTGGAGGGTTGGTTCCCTCTGAAGTTTAAGGTCCTTTCGAACATAAATATCCTGTCTTTTTCATAAAACTTTTCTTGACCACTCCAGTTTTATGGTTATGCTTTTTAAAACAAACAAACAAACAAACAAACAACTGTTTATACTTCTGATGCTTTTTTTCTTAGCACTTAATACTAGGCAAACCTTTCCTGGATAAGTAATTCTGAAAAGTCCCTTCTAACTTGAAAAATTCAGAACCTACTTTAGAGGACAAAAACGGGAGCGGCACACAGGCTATTTTCACTATGTTGACTTTAGACCCTGTATGTGGAACTTCGATGGCAGTAAAATGCAAATGGTCATTAAGCACAAATAAATCACAACATCCAACCTTCCGTAACTAATGGGTCCTCATAAAAAAAAACCACAGCAAAATGCACTTTAGAAGCCAAGCACTGCCCCCAGCCCGTACTTGAGTGGTGCAGGCAGGATGGTCTGGTAGTTGTAGTGTTGCTGCTGTTGGCTCAGGATCTGTAGCTGCAGGAACAGCTGCTGCTGCTGGAGCAGGCGGGCGTAGTTGGAGTCCAGCTGCGGCTCGCTCTTTTCACCTTTCTGGTCTGGTGGAATGTACTGGTGGTACTTCAGCTTCTTTACCCGTGGTTTAGGGTCTTTACATTTTTTGCTACGGTGTTTGTCATTCGGATTCTTAGGATGGCTTTGCTATTTGTGAGAAAAGGGAGGGAAGAACATTTTTAAAGACGCCACCACGTGCAGTCTGTTTTCCTGTGCCTCAGTGACTTGAAATGAAAGAGCAATGCAGCTTCAGACCTGGTGGAGCCACTTGGGAAGGCAAGGCACCAAACACATTTCAAGAGCTAGGAAAACATATGCATGTACCCTTGACCAAGAAATCTTGTTCCTAAGAACTTATTTCTCCTGCTGCCTGGTTCCTTCAGACTAAGGGCAAGATCCTCAGCTTAGCACTATCCATTCAAATTCAACAAACATTAGCTCTGAGATTTCTGTGTAGACACACTGCTGAGTGCTTACATATATTATCTCCCAGTGAAAAACAAGTCATACATTACATATACAAGAGAAAAAAGATAAAATATAGTTTACCATAACTATAATATTTTATAGTCATTAAAATCAATAAAGAATATATAAAACCAAAAATGCTTGTAATGAGAATAAAGCAGATAAAAACTATATATTTCCGTGGTAAATATACACATAAAAATACTGAGTAATGTGAATATGAGTTTAAACAAATTTTTTCAAAAATATATTTTTATTTTGAACATGGAGTGTGAGACCCCCATCTTATGATTAAGAATCAGATGGCTTTTTTTCTGAGCTTTCTTCCTCCATTTATAAGTTATCAGATCACTTTCTACTTTAAGTAGTCATATTATAGTTTCATCTGAATAAAAAAAGTCCATCAACAAAAACAACAAGGTACGGGAAATTATTCCTAAGCTTCCTTCGGTAAAATATTCAATGAGACAACTTTGAGAAGCACTACATTAAATGTGGTTACTGTTGTGATCCTGTTATATATGTTTGTATTTGAAGGAGGAAATTTAAAAAATAAAGAAGAAAATAAAAGCACCATATTCTACAGACCAGAAATTGTCACTATTCATATGTACCTTTTACCCCTAGATATCCTCATGGCAACTCCCTCACCTCTTCTATCTGCCCAGATGTCACCTGTTCATTTTGCCCAACCACCCTGAAAAACAGACACGTCTCCCCTGCCTCCCCAGTGGCCCCTCTCACCACTTCATTCTTCACTGCCGGCCCACTCTGTGTTTTGTTGTCTGTTCACCTCCCATTCCTAACCGAGGTGGGGGCACCTTGGGATGCTTTTATCACTGCTTTACTGACTCCTCATATCCAGAGCACTGCTTGGCAATAGAAGGTGCTAGATAAATATCTGCTGAATGAATTAATGATGAATGTATATGCCATTAGAAATCACTTGAATTATTAGGTACTTAAAAAAAAATCACAATGTCAGAAAATACCCTTACCCACTTAAAATCCTCCTGTAATCTCACAGTATTAATCAATTCACTGTTACCTGCTTATGTTGGTATCAATGACATATTTTATTTTTAGTCTTCTCAAACTGCACATACCAATGAATGGGGTCTGGGTTACAGGGGTCTGTCTCTAACTGCTGTATAACAGTAAAACAACTGGCCCAGCTGCAATCAGGAAGGAACCTGATGACAAAGGAGGGGACAAAAACATAAGAACCAGTACTCCTCAGACTAAATCTGCTATTACCATTAGCTGGTAGGCACATGCCTATTCTCTCAGAAAGTGAGGGTGGGAAATAGCTTTCCTCATAGAAAAACCCAAAGAATTATGGTCTGTTTCCTAATATGTACTTGTCCTTTCCTCCACTAGTATAGTCCCAGGGTTCCCTCCCCAGCCCCCGAATCTCACATTCTTAAGCAATGCCTCTTGCCCTAAAACGGAAGCCCTCTTAAAGACAGACACTAGCAAATGGCAGAACTTCAAAGATGAGGCGAGGCAGAGGACAAATTCTCAGTATCTGCAGGGAAAGATGGGTTGGCACTCAAACCCTTTTTGTGCCATTAGTGGTGCATGCTTGGGGATGTGGGAAGAGGAGGTACAAGCTGATTTTCTTGAAACAATTGCCACTTGCCACCCTCTGGAATTTCTGGCTCCAATACTAAGCGATGCAAGATGGTGAAATATATTACAATATGCCCTTGAAGCCACACAGTCTCAGTCACTCTAACAAAGAGAGCCAGGAGTGGTTAAGAGAACCTTCTCCGAGGAAGGTTGTAAGGACAGGCCCAGGGACAGATGGAGATGAGGAATGCACCATGCTTACTGCCTCTGAAGAGGCCTGCAGTGGGCTAACGGAGATGGCAGAAAGAGGGCTGGACTGGACTTCAGGAAACGGAGGTCCTTCCTGGTCTTGTCAGTTTTTTACTTCTTTGGGTCTCGGTCTCCTCATCGGGAAGGTGGATAGAGGGTTAGCTTGCTCTCTAACATTCTTTCTTAGTTCTGAAAGTTTGAGATTTGTGTTCTGCTAGTTTTGGCAAAAGCCACATCTGAAATGATTAAACTATTCTGCAGTTTATCTACCACCCACACTTTATTTAGCAGTTTTAAGTACACTTCAAAAAACTTTTAAAAGGTACTGTATATTAAACATTTTAATCTGTCCTGGGACTTAACTCTAATTGAATTATTTTGACCAAGTAAAATGCGGGAACACTGCCACAAATCTGCAGCTTATCTGAAGAACAAACCAAGCTTCATCAGGCCAAATCTGCCAAACCAAAAGAAGTATTTGCTTCTATGAAACCTTTAACCTATCGTGTAATATATCTGGAATACCACTGAGCTAAACCTTGTGTAGAACGTCCAAAATTCATCTCAATGCTAAAGGCATCCATTTGTGCGATTCAGGATTCCTGTGGGCCGTGTCGAAGCACCTCTGTCTCGCCCTACTTCCCTTCGCCCCGCCCTCGTGGCCCGATGGGAGCAGAACTGGGCACTGCTGAGAGAGTGATCCCTACAATCTTTCTCACTGCCCCAACAGTTTACCCAGACCACACGTGTGCTGTTCTGCGACTACAGAACAATAGGTCATGTGCTGAAGGTGGCAGTTGCAAATTTTAGGGCCTGGTCTAGTAAGTCCTCCCATGCTTTTGTTTTCAAGGCTTCAGGCTAAAAGGCAGGCTGGGCAACGTGGACACATGGCTGTGTCTTCCACAGGGGGTGACAGACAACGGTCACAAGTAGAGATACCCAAACTAGTGCACATGCAGGGTACCCACCTTCACCAGTGCTGGCCCAGGCTTTGTTGAGGACACAGTGTTTGTGGGGAGCACAGGAGCTGTGGACCTTGTGGGGGGCTGATCCGTAGTAGCAGGAGTTTTCAAGAATTCAGGAACTACTGGGGACACTGAAGTAAACTGGTGAAAAAGGCAGAAAGGGAACAAGTCTGTGACATCAATGACAGTAAAAATAGAAAAACCAGAATTATAAGGTAGTGACCTCCCCTGGCTGGTGTAGCTCAGTGGATTGAGCACGGGCCTGCGAACCAAAGGATTGTGGTTCGATTCCCAGTCAGGGCACATGCCTGGGATGCAGGCCAGTTCCCAGCAGGGGATGTACGAGAGGCAACCACACATTGATATTTCTCTCCCTCCTTCCTTCCCTTCCCTTCTAAAGATAAATAAATAAAATCTTAAAAAAAAATAAGGTAGTGACTTCACTTAAAGAAAAGTGTAGTTACAAAAGAAAGGAAAGTATACTGTTACGCCTGAGACCCAAATGGAGAAATAATGTGCCTGACCTCCGTGAAGCCAATTATTTAGTCTTTGCCTCAACAGTATTGAAAAGCTAGGGCTAAATTGACTAACTGTAGTGTTTTCTCAGAAATATGGTCAGAACTGCCCTTTTTTGGCAGAAATCAAGTACAAGACTCTTGTAAAAATGAAGACAACAATACGTGGTATTCATAAGGTTTTCTTGCCAAACAGGTCCCACTAATCCAGGCAAATTTAAATATCGTCTTTAGTCTTAGTTACAGGGCCTGATGCATCTCCTCCACCACAGGCAGACCCACAGTCAGGCTGGGTCTGATGAGAAGCTTCCCCTCCATGCTTGTGCCCTTAAATGTGCCTTACAGGTTACGCTCCTACCTCCAAACCCAACTAGGGCTCCTTAACTTTCCCCCGTTCTTTCAGTGAAGAAAATTTAAAGAATGTATTCTGGTAAGATTGACTTACTTCACTGACAGTACATTCATACTCAAAAAGCAAGACACTAATTTGTTACCTGGGCAATTAATTATTCAATCTCAATTTGGAGTCATATATTAACAAAGAAACTACAGAAAGCTTTTTGGGTTTTTATCAATCACTTAGAAACCTATTCCCATCAGCAATTTACGTTAAGTAGACTTTAAGTATTCATTTACTGGAAAGAGATATTACTATTCCAATAAATTAGTTAAATGTTGCCTATCCATTACTACTTGGACTTATTATCATCAGCTTTATCTTAAGGAAAAACATGTCTTTATCACTTACACTTCTCTGAACAACTCCTCAATTCATCACACCAGTCAAAATCTGTTCTCCTGTTGAAATACTTGGGTTTAAAAATACAAAACTGTATTTTCTCTCCTTAAAATAAATGACCTGGAAAGTCAGAAGGCTATTAGCTGCAACGAATATGAAGCTTGGCACACAGTAGTTACTCAATAAATATTTTTTAAGTGGGTGAATGGAAATTCCTTGTGGCTTTACTCATGCTAGGTCACACTTAAGGCTGCAGAGACTGTATGTGCGTGTGTAATTAGTTGTGCGTGGCCATGTCGGCACTTTCCCTGAGGTCTTTTCTTTTGCCATTGATTTTAGCTTTTAACTAATTATCAGTGACTGTAAATGTCGACAATATAAAAGACTGGCCTTTCTAAAGATGGTTATACTCAATTTAATTTTCAAATGAAAATGAGAAAACTTATCCAAAAGTTTTGACACCTATGTTCCAGGCTGACTTCTGTCCCCAAATGGCCCTGAGGCAGCCAGCTCCTCAATGAATCTCTGACACAAAGTGAGAGGGGACAGCTAGCGGGTCACTGCTTCACGGGGTAGGGTTCTATGTTATTTGTTTTCCTTTCACTTTGCATAGTTTCAGGAAATGAGGATACTTATCTCTGGGCAAAGTTTCACACAGGAGAAAAACATTCCTAGGCTATTAAAAAACTGGCATATAAAATATAATCAGATATTTGAATTTTAAATATATATTTCTTTGCAGATAAAATCTACTAACCTGGCAAGCTATTTTACCAGTCCAGATCTCACTGGCTGATTTGATAGTAATGGTGCATTTGAGAGCAGTCAGTGTTAAAAATCTGTGGTGGTAACTGTAATATTTATGAAAACATTTTGCCTATTATTTCTAGACCTTGCCTAATTGACTTCAGCCTTGACTACTGATACTCCCAATTGAATACCTCTTTTGGTATTTCAGTGTGACTTCATTATTGAGAAAACCACACACTCCAGCGTAACACCAGGCTAAGTCAACTGAGAAACCAGTGATTAACTTTACCTAATTGAATAAATTCTGGTTTAAAAGGAACAAATGTCTAAATTTTGATTTAGATTGTGCCAGCCCGGGGACTTCCGCCAAGATGGAGGTATAGATGGATGTGCCGTACCTTCTCACACAACCAAGTTTAGGGACAACTAAATAAGAGCATCAGAAAACACAACCAGAACATGGAAAATTGAACTTTTTGGAAGTCCGGTAACAACAAATTCTTCAGCCCGACCGGTAAGGGGCGAAACCGGTGTCTCGTGAGGGGTTGCACAGGACTCCGGTCGGACGGACCCAGGCGCGGAATCCAGAAGTGCGAATCCAGACGCACGGCAGGATTGGACCTAGCAACCCACCGGGTGAGCGACTGCTGAGGAGACAGTGGGGAGGCAGGGCTGCGTGTTGACTGCGGTTGCCTATCTGTGGGCGAGCTGACAGGCGAGGGAGTGGGCGCTTGGACCGGCCCGGCGGTCCCCGCAGCTTGCGGCAGTAGAGGGCGCCGCCATATCCCCGCTTTGACCACGCCCCCACATACAGCGTCACAACCCAGCGACCTGGGAATCCAAGGCGCCGCTTCTCCCGCTTAAAGGGCCAGAACAGACCAAAAATGTCGCAGAAAGACCTCAGAGCCCCAGAGATAAATCTAAGGGACGAAGAAATAGCAAAACTCTCAGACGCACAGTTTAAAACACTGGTCATCAGGTTCCTAACAGATCTGGTTGATTATAGCCACAAATTAGAGAAACATATGAAGGCTAAACTAAGGGAAATGAATGGAATTCCACAGAAAACCCATAGAGATGAAAAGGAAACTGGGACTCAATTCAATGAAGTGGCCCAGAAGAAAGCAAATAATGGCCAAACAGAAAAGAGTCAAGGAGCAAGAATTCAAAGAAATGAGGAGAGTCTTAGGAACCTCCAGGACATCTTTAAACGCTCCAATATCCGAATTATAGGGGTACCAGAAGGGGGAAAGACACAACCACCAGTGGAAAAATTATTTGAACAAATAATAAAAGAAAACTTCCCCAATCTGGCAAAGGAAATAGACTTCCAAGAAATCCAAGAAGCTCAGAGAGTACCAAAAAAGTTGGACTCAAGAAGAAACACACCAAGGCATATCATAATTACATTAGCCAAAATTAAAATGAAGGAGAGAATCCTAGAAGCAGCAAGAGCTAAGGGGACAATCACCTACAAAGGAGTCCCCATCAGACTGTCAGCAGATTTCTCAAAAGAGACCTTACAGGCAAGAGGGGGCTGGAAAGAAATATTCCAAGTCATGAAATCTAAAGACCTACAACCAAGATTGCTCTATCCAGCAAAACTTTCATTTAGAATGGAAGGACAGATAAGGTGCTTCTCAGATAAGATCAAATTCAAGGAGTTCATCATCACCAAGCCCTTATTATATGAAATGTTAAAGGGACTTATCTAAGAAAAAGAAGTTAAAGAAACATGAACAGTGAAAGAACAACAAGCTCACAGTTATTAACAACCACACCTAAAACAAAAGCAAACTAAAAGAACAGCTAGATCAGGAGTGGAAACATAGAAATGAAGATCTCAAGGAGGGTTAGCAACAGGGAGTGGGAGGAGGAGATGGGGGGAGGAGGTACAGAAAATAAGTAGCATAGACAGTAGATAGAAAATAGATGGGGGGGGCAAGAATAGCATGGGAAATATAGAACCTAAAGGACTTGGGACACATGGACATAAACTAAAGGGGGGTAATGGTGGGGATGGGGGGCAGGGTGGAGGGGAATGAAGGGGGGAATAGAACAACTGTAACAGCATAATCAATTTTAAAAAATAAATTAAAAAAAAAAAAAAAAAGATTGTGCCAGCCCTATTTATGTGTCTTAGAAAGGACCCTCCAAAATCTTGGATCATATCTAAGTGTTAGGATCCTAGTGTCTAGAGTTACTAAACAAAATATAAATAAAAATCTAGATATCCATGCTTCTTAAATGACAGTACTCTAAAAAGGATTAAGAGACTATCCAAGAAATAAAAATACTACACTTATTTGTTTCACAGTATATTGAACAATACATTAAGAATCTTAAAAGAATGCTTTAAGTACATTTAAATTGCCACTGAGACCCAAGTTCACCTTATGTATTATTGAAATTATACCTGAAAATGGTTCAGAATCTTTTCTCCAAAGAAACAAAAATGCTGCAAACTTTGCTTTGTTTTGCTGAATCTGGTCACTGTTCTTATCACAAGTTATAGGTGTCAAGACTACCAGTTCTTTAATTATCATCATTACATCATGAAGGATATGTCAGAAAAAAGCTGTTTAACAGTGGATATTTACATGGTAAATACAAAAGAAAAAATAGAGCAAATATTTAGGCTGACTAAAGTTTTATAACATTTCAGGTCTGCACTGGCTCCTTCTGAAAAGATGGTATTACTTGCCAAGGACAAATCATTGTCTGGTAAGTTCCTTTGTTTCTTAAAATATATTTTATTGATTACGCTATTATAATTGTCTCACTTTTTCCTTCCCTTTATTCCCCTCCACCCTGCATCACCCCTCTCTCACCATCATTCCTTTACCTTAGTTCATGTCCAGGGGTTGTACATGTAAGTTCTTTGACTTCTCCATTTCCCATACTATTCTTAACCTCCCTGTCTATTTTGTACCTACCATTTATGCTTCTTATTCCCTGTACCTTTTTCCCCATTCTCCCCCTCCTCTGATAAGCCTCCGTGTGATCTCCATTTCAATGACTCTGTTTCTGTTCTAGCGGTTAGCTTAGTTTGTTTTTTAGGTTCAGTTGTTGATAGCTGTGTTTGTTGTCCTTTTACTGTTCATAGTTTTTACCTTCTTCTTTTTCTTAGGTAAGTC